TATCTTTTTGAAGAGAGTAGCTCTAGGTAGAACCAAAGAACCAGTGGTGGGATTCAGAAGACAAGAAAATGGCCTAGTCTGTTTGCCTAATGTCTCCATCCTGGTCCTCAGTTAATAGCTGAGCCAGGAAATGTTGACAAAGTGTGTCATTCAGGGAAGCCCTGAGGGTTCAACACCAAGGACTGGAATAAAACCCAAGTGAAACCCATCTAGCAAATTTCCTCCCCACTTGGCATACCCACAGGTCTGGACGTGCCTAGCCACCTGCTGCTGTCCCCCTTGTGAAACTGACATGGTCAGATGTCATGCTAGCGGAAGGCTTTAATTGAAGCCGAATTAAATTAATTACATCATTTTTGCTTTCCAAGCTTAATTCCCTTGAAGTTACATCATGAAACCAGGGCATTACAAAGGATTAGGGACCAAAGGAAGGTAGAGCTGAATAAGGCTTCCATATGCCCATGACTCATGTGTGATACTCATGTCCCCAGTGTGGACCCCTGTGACTCACCACTGATACAGCAACAATTCCAGGTGGCCTCCACTCATAGGGATTTCTGGCCTTGCCTCCTGCTGCTGAGAACTCTGAGAGCTCCCTGGGTTAGTCAGAAGCCAGGGAAGTTGTAGGCAGGACTCACCATCCCAAATGGGACCTTTGAAGGTCTGTGCTTATTTTGGAAGACTTTGAGACTAATTTAGTTCAGTATTTCCCCAAAGTGGCGTTACTGAGGATGTTAGTAGATGCTGTGTGGAAAACAAAGGGTCGAGTGGTCAAATACATCTGAGAAGAGGTTTAATAAACAGGTTTCCTTCCTGGAGGCCTCCTCTAAGCCTTCAACCTGCTAAGTTTACTATAAACATCCAGAAAGCAACACAGTATACAGCATTTCCCATGAATCACTTCTGCAGAAGAATCCTGTGGGATTAGCACACTGATGAACACATTTTGAAAAAGCCTTTTTGGTTGTAGCTTCTCCTCCCACCATCTTCCCTTGCCATGAAGACAGGGCAGTCTCCAGACACCTGTGTTTCTCAAATGGCAACTTCACATCCATCTCTGCCTTTTGGCACATTTTGCAGGAGTTCACACAAGCAAATAAACGTGTTTTGGTTTCCACTGAAGAACCACTATGTTGTGTAGCATGGCAATGCTGAGAGGGGCCTCTGGGACTGCTTGATTCTTATTTTACTGGAAGAAAATGTGGCCGGTGGAGCAGAAGTGACTGGCTGGAGATGAGACAGCTAGAGAGACACAGAGTTAAGACTGTATACCCATTGTCCTAAAACTCCACCCACAATAATGGGATCAGCCTCTCAGGTACAAATAAAGGGAGTTACTAGTTGATTAGCTGATTAGTTACTAGTTACTAAATTACAGAGTCATTGTTAGATAAATGAATTACTAGATCCATCTAGCAAAGAAGCTTCTGAACAAGCAGCAACACTCAAATGGTGGGAGGCAGTGCCAAGAGTTAGGAGATGAATGCAAATGACTATGGGTTATTATTTTCTGAGGTTCCATAAAATCCTGTGCATAACTCTACCCGGAATTTACCACATTAAGTTATAATGAAATATTTGGGGATCTTCTTTCTGTATCAGAGTTCCTTGTTGCAGACAACAGAATCCACTCTAGCTATTTTAAGCAAAAAGATGGTTTATTAAACAGTACTGAATAGTGCATGCAGTCTTCAGGAGAAACAGAAAATGAGATCAGATGTGATGCAAGCAGGAATAACAGAGCCAGGAGAAATGCCCATCCACACCACAGGCCTGCTGCAGGGAACACTGATGGCTTCTGCTACCCATCACTGGGCCCTATGATACCAGGTTGGATGCTAAAAACCCACAGCAGCCCTAGAAACCAGTTAGCCCTGCCACCATGGTTGTCAGAACACCTGCATAAGATCAGCACCTCACCTTGCTCACTTCTGCATCTAGACCTCCAGCAGAGGTATGTGCTAGGCCAAGCTAGGTCACATGCCTCACCATCTGTTATGGACTGAATTGTGTTTTTCCTAAATTCAGATCTCTGTGATAGCCCTAACCCCCAACAAGACTGTATTTGGAGACAGGATGTTTAAGGGAGTAATTTGGGTTAAACAAACTCATAAGGGGTGGAGGGAGCCAATATGACTGGTGTCCTTATAAGAAGAGGAAAAGATGCTGGGAATGCACATACACAGAGAGGAAAAACCGCATAAAGACACAGGGAGGAGGTGGCCATCTGCGAGCCAAGGAGAGAGCCCTCAGGAGAAACCAAACCTGCCAACACCTGGATTTTGGACTTCCAGCCTCCAGAACTGAGAGACAATAACTATCTGTTTTTTAAGCCATCTAGTCTGTGGTATCATGTTATGCAGCCAAGCAAACTAATACACCTTAGATGAAAGGGAAACATAGTTTGTAGTTTTCCAACCTCAGTAACTGGGGGGAAGAAAATGAGAAGAACCAATGCACAGAATCCACCACACTTTATCTAAACAACAGGCTTGCCACTGAGTTTATAAATGCGTGGGGGCATTTTTTGTTGTTGTTGCAATGGAAAGAGGGAATGCTGTTGGGATTTAGAGGGTGGAACCAGTGGTACTAAATACCCTGTAATGTATGGACCATCCCAGGCCACAAATAATTTTTGCACAAAAATCCTAATAGCTCTGTCAGTTAAGAAACTCTAGACTGGAATGGGAGCTTCAAGAAGACAGAAATTATTTATTTTCTCCACCATCAGCACCAGAGTCTGGCACCGAGGAGATGCTCAATCAAGTTGTGTTGAATAAATGTATAAGAAATGAATGATTATGAGGAGTGAAAGAATAAATGAATGGCCAGAATAACAATGGAAACAGCCCAGAACTAGAAGCAACTAAATATCTGAGTCATACAGGCATAAAATTATATTTCCTTTTTGTTTTTTATCACTGAAAATTGAGCTTGAAATAGAAAAGCTGAAACAAAGGTGCACTGAAGCAACTGCATGGCTGATTGATTGTTTGGTTAGTTAATGAGCAGATCAGTGGGGGATGGAGTCAGGCAGGAGAGATAGGCTGGGGTTGGCCATGGGGAGTTAATCAGTCACAGTGTGAGTGGGCAACAAGGCAAGAGAGTCCTGGGGCCATGAAACTTACGCACAACCAAAACCCTCCTTTTACATATATCCATCACCCTCACAGAACACTTGAATGGTATCAAAATCTCCATTATTTAAGTCACTTTTTACAACCAAAACATTGCCCCCACCAACCCCTCCTTAATAGGTTAATATGTCACCTAAAGGGTGACACCATGACCAATATCTGCCCATCATAGCAATTTTTAGATTAGTTTACAATGCAAGTAGGTCTGTTTCTGAAGAATGTACTTGGTAGGTACATAAGACCAGTGGCAGAAATAAAAAGACTTTAGAAAACAGAGTAGCATGGGTGCCTTTGATCCCCAACCCTGGTCCTGAGTTGAGACAGGAAACATTGCCAAAGTATGTCTTTCAGGAAAGCGCAAGGTTCAACACCAAGGAATAGAATAAAACCCAAATGAAAACCATCTAGCAAATTTCCTCCCCAGTTGGTATACACATGTCTGGATGTGTCAGCCACCTGCAGCTGTCCCCCTTGTGAAACTGACATGGTCAGATATCATGCTATGGGCTCTCTGCAACTTCTCTTGGACACATCTAAACTTCCCTCCCAGCACGATCACATTGCCTCCCAACTGGGCCACAACGACTGCTAACTCTCTACCCTGCCAGGACTCCTGTGCACCTAGCAACTGTGCCACACATTAATCTCTTCCAGCCTAGTTAACATACCTGTGTTTCTTGTCATGTTTCACATACAAAAATACATCCAATGAGGCAATTACAATACCAATAGAAATAGAAAATGAGAACCAAAGAAAAGAGAACCACAGTAATCCAATCATTTACCCCAGTGTTTCCTGGGAGCCATGGCACAAAGGAAGTCAGATGGATTGCGTAAATTTCATTAATGGAGAAGAAGAAAACTACAAATTCAAAGGAAAGCAGCTCTTCCCAAGTTCCTACATTAAGAAACGACTCCTACAGGATTTCATGTGGAGGATAATGAAAGACACTAGGATCAAAGTCCAGATTTCATATGAAGGTTTCTTCCTCCTGAGCCAAGAGTGTAAAATTTAAATGCAGTTTAGAGAAGGCATTATTCCCAATAGACTCATTTTAATTTTTTTTTTTTTTTTTTTGAGACAGAGTCTCACTCTGTTGCCAGGCTGTAGTGCAGGGGCGTGATCTCGGCTCACTTCAACCTCCGCCTCCCGAATTCAAGCAATTCTCCTGCCTCAGCCTCCCGAGTAGCTGGGACTACAGGCACCTGCCACCATGCCTGGCTAATTTTTTGTATTTTTATTTTTTATTTATTTATTTATTTATTTATTTTGGAGACAGAGTTTCGCTCTTGTTGCCGAGGCTGGAGTGCAATGGCGCAATCTCGGCTCACCACAACCTCCACCTCCCAGGTTCAAGCAATTCTTCTGCCTCAGCCTCCCCAGTAGCTGGGATTACAGGCATGCACCACCACGCCTGGCTAATTTTGTATTTTTAGTAGAGACGGGGTTTCTCCATGTTGAGGCTGGTCTTGAACTCCTGACCTCAGGTGATCCACCCGCCCTGACCTCCCAAAGTACTGGGATTATAGGCATGAGCCACTGCACCTCGCCTAATTTTGTGTATTTTTAGTAAAGACGGGGTTTCACCATGTTGGCCGGGACGGTCTTGATCTCTTGACCTCATGATCCACCCACCTTGGCCTTCGAAAGTTCTGGGATTACAGGTTTGAGCCACTGTGCCTGGCCTCCAATAGACTCATTTTTCTTAAGTCTGCATTTATCATGTTACTTTACTGCCCAGATGATGTCTCTTTCTTCCCTACCTCTTCTGAGTGGCTATCTCTAGCCTGGCTCCCAGGCTTTTTCGACTGATGGAAACTTCCCTCCAGTACTCCCTAGTATGCCCTCGAGTCCCTCCTTACCTGAGAGCAGGGCTCCTCCCCACCTTCCAACTCATCTCAGACTGGAACCCAAATCTGCAGCTCTTGCGAAGAGAGAAGTGGAATGGGAAGGAAGGGGAAGAATAAAGTGGAAAAGGAGGGAAGGAAAAAAAATGGAAGAAGGAAAGGAGCCAAAAGAGAAAAGAAATACCCTGATACTCCAACTCCAGGGATGGATTCACATTTAAGGCTAGGTCTAAGCCCTGCAGCATCCATGGACTTTCCATCCTGCCCCCGTCTTGGCTGTGCCTCCCCTTTCCTGAGTGGCTGGGTGCTGCACCACGTTCCTCCCACCACGTGCCCTCTGGCACCTCAGGCTCTGGCAACACTAAGAACTTGACGTTCCTCCAAACACACCACAACAGTCTACCCAATGTCCATTCCCTGCTTCTTCCTTAATTAACAGACCTTGGGCTCTATTCAGGGCTGCAACATGCGCAGCTAAAAGACTGCATTTTGCTGCCTCTCTTGAATCCAGACAAAAGTCCCAGGGTGAGGTTTCTGCGAAGTCTTTTTCAAGGGGACTGATTCAGCTGGAAGAAAGACCCTCTACCCCTTGCCCTTCCCCTTCACTCTGCCTGAAATACTATAGACCCCTTATTCAAGGGGTGATGTGTTCCAAGACCCGCAGTGGATGTCTGAAACTGAGGATAGAACTGAACCCTATATATACATATTTTTTCCTATACCTAGACATCTATTATAGTTTAATTTCAAGGCTGGGCACAGTGGTTCTCACCTCTAATCCTGGCACTTTGGGAGGCCGAGGCGGGTGGATCATCTGAGGTCAGGAGTTCGAGACCAGCCTGGCCAACATGGTGAAACCCCATCTCTACTAAGAATACAAAAATTAGCAGGGTGTGGTGGCGTGCGCCTGTAATCCCAGCTACTTGGGAGGCTGAGACAGGGGAATTGCTTGAACCCAGGAGGCAGAGATTGCAGTGAGCTGAGATTACACCACGGCACTCCAGCCTGGGCAACATAGCAAGCCTGATTGGAACTCCAGCAGCCATCTTGTGACTTTGAGGATAGAAGTCATATGCCTAGAATGGAAAAGCAGAGCACGAGAGAGAGAAAAAAAATGCTTCTATAGCAGCCCTGAATTGCTTGCTTTTGGACTTCTCTATGAAAGAGAACTTAGCCTTCATTTAAATCATTTATTTGGTTTCCTCTCTTAGACAGCTAGATCTAAATGCAAAACAACAGCCATGTGGTTTTCTGCCTGTGAGCCATGGCGTAGCTGTTCTCTCTGCCAAAAACCACTTCATCCCTGTCCTCCTGTGAATTTCTGGTCAGGTTAGAAGCCTCCACTGAGGCATCCCTCCCCATGTGGAGTTTCTTCAATTGACCTCTCAGGCAGGCCGGGTTCCTCCCTCCTGAGTTACACCTCTTCCCTAAGCCAGATGAACTCGCTTATCATTGTCTCGGGATAGTTTACACTAGTGGTTCTCTTAAGTGGGTCCAGGGCCAGCAGCAGCACCTGGGAGCCCCACCTCAGACATACTGAATTAGAGACTCCCAGAGCGGAGTGGGGCTCTTAGAATCTGTGTGTTACAAGCTCTTCAGGGGATTCTGATGCAGCTCAAGTATCAGATCCCTGCTTTGCATGCATTGAGTTTTCTAGAAGAGGAGGGTCTGTGTCTGACATTTTTTTTTTTTTTTTTTTTTTTTGAGATGGAGTCTCGCTTTTTTGCCCAGGCTGGAGTGCAATGGCGTGATCTCAGCTCACTGCAACCTCCACCTCCATAGTTCAAGCAATTCTCCTGCCTCAGCCTTCCAAGTAGCTGGGATTACAGGCATACACTGCCACACCTGGCTACTTATTTTGTATTTTAACAGAGACGGGGTTTCACCGTGTTGCCCAGGCTGGTCTCGAACTCCTGAGCTCAAGCAATCCACCCGCCTCAGCCTCCCAAAGTGCTAGGATTACAGGCATGAGCCACCGTGCCCAGCAGTGTCTGTCATCTTTTATTCAACAACCCTAGATTTGCCAGATACCTAATAATGGTTTAATAAATATTCAAAAAATTACATAACAGTTGATGAATAAAAATAAGAAGGATAAATTAATAGTTTATGTGAAAACACGAATTCTCTACTCCAGAAAGCCCTGTGGATATTTACCTGCTCTTCTGTCTCAACTCTTAGCAGATCCAAAACCCCAAGGGGAGATGTGGCCCCTAAACTGGAACAGGGATTCTAGTCAATGCCTGACATGCTCTATGGCGCCACTCCTGCAAAGGACAAAAAAGAAAATAAAAACAGCAAGGGATTTTTAAAAAAAAAAACAAACAAACAAAACCATATCTTTGAGGGTTGAAGGAAACACACCAAAGTTTTGTACTTGCCTCAGTTTTCCATGAAAATGTAAAGCAGTTGTTTACCTCCATTGAAACTGGTTTCACCTTAACATGGCTTTCTTTTTTCAGACGGAGTCTCACTTTGTCGCCCAGGCTAGAGTGCAGTGATGTGATCTCAGCGCACTGCAACCTCTGCCTCCTAGGTTCAAGCAATTCTCCTGCCTCAGGCCCCTAAGTAGCTGGGATTACAGGCACCCACCACCATGCCCGGCTAATTTTTGTATTTTCAGTAGAGACAAGGTTTCACCATGTTGGCGAGGGTGGTCTCAAATTCCTGACCTCAGGATGATCTCCCCACCTCGGCCTCCCAAAGTGCTGGGATTATAGGCGTGAGCCATGATGCCTGGCCCTACATGGCTTTCTTGATGGGGTGAGCAGCCCAGACTACAATCTGGTTTGCTAGAAAGGAAAAGTGGGGAAGACAGTGGACAGCATGCATTGCACATCAGAACATGATGAGGAAAGTTCTCACATTGCCAGGGCAGGCGATGAAACTTGGCAGCCGCCCCTCAGAAATACTTCAAAGCCAGCGGGGGAGGAATGTTCCTCTCAGCAAATGAAGAAATATTCAGCTAAGCTGGGACCCAGATCATGAGCTTCTGAGAAAAAATAAAGCATGTCAACAACCTTCTCTACACTTCTCCTTCATGGATGTGAGAGAATCAAGGAAGAGGGAGACATTTTTCTATCAATTCAGCTCAATAAACTTTTCTGAAGACCTCACTGGGCCAAGCAGATCTGGGTACATGGGGGGCCAGGGTGACCACAACGCAACCCTGCTCTCAAGTCCTGTTGTCAGACCCCTTAGGTGAGCTGATGTATTTCATCTCAGCTATTGCCATCATCATCATCCTCACTGCTGGGCTGCTATTCACAGAAATTCACAGCCTAGGGGATGAGACTCACCTGTACAAGGCATTCATCAGGCAATGTGATAAATGCAGTATTAGATGTTTGTATGTGATGAAGTAGAAGAGAATGATTGACTACCTCAGTAATCAGGCAAGGTATGACCAAGGCGAAAATATTGAGCAAGGTTTTGAAGGATAAATAGGAGTTTGCCAACCTTAAGCTAAGGTAGGACACCTGAGAATTCTTTTGTCTCCAGAAGTCTTTAAATATGGATCTATATGATGGAGTCCAACATTGAAATTCATTCTGGAAGATCCCTGAGAATAGTGCTTTTCAGACATTAATGTGCCCACAAATCATATGGGAATCTTGTTAAATGATTCTGGCTCAGAAAATCTGGGCTAAGTCCTAAGAATTTGCATTTCTAATAAATTCTCAAGTGAGGCTGATGCTGCTGGGCTACGAACCACACATCGAGTATCCAGGCCTAAGCAGCAATTCTCTAGCTGTTCAAAGTCTCACTACACCCCCACAAAGGAGATTCATTTTACAGCATTTAAGAACCGAGTCTTGAGTTAAGAGATCTGTCCCAGACTACATGGTTAAGAAGTGGCAGAGCTGGGGCTGGGCGCGGTGGCTCACACCTGTAATCCCAGCACTTTGGGAGGCCGAGGTGGGCAGATCATGAGGTCAGGAGATCGAGATCATCCTGGCTAACATGGCAAAACCCCATCTCTATTAAAAATATTAAAAAATCAGCTGGGCGTGGTGGCGGGCGACTGTAGTCCCAGCTACTCGGGAGGCTGAGGCAGGAGAATGGTGTGAACCCGGGGGGCGGAGCTTGCAGTGAGCCAAGATCGCGCCACTGCACTCCAGCCTGGGCGACAGAGCAAGACCCCGTCTCAAAAATAAAAAATAAAAGAAGTGGCAGAGCTGTGATTTGAACCCAGGTCTGCCTGACTCAGGGCCACAGGGTCTCAAGCACTATTCTCTTTACAAAAGAATGAGCCTCTAATCCCCCTAAATCAGAGTCTGATGTGAGACTAGCTGGCATAATGAAGCAATTTCCTCCTGAAGATCCTAGAGTCTAGCACGCAGAGAGAAGCCCAAGTTCCACCTGCACTGACCAAGAGCAGCCAGGTTCAGTGACTTTAAAAAACCAATTCAAATCCATGACTTTTCCTACCAGAAGCAACTGTCATTTAATGTAGCAGTGGGCAGTGCAGTCCCTGGACAACAGAGCAATCATGTACAGAGGAAGAAAACAGAGCATGGCCCATGAGGGCTTTTCTGGCCCTGCCAGGCACAGTGGCTCATGCCTGAGAGCAATCATGTGTACAGAGGGAAGAAAACAGAGCAGGCCCATGAGGGCTTTCTCCCTGGCCCTGCTACAGGCACAGTGGCTCATGCCTGTAATCCCAGAACTTTGGGAGGCCAAGGTGGGCAGATCACTGAGGTCAGGAGTTTGAGACTCGCCTGGCCCCATCTTTACTAAAAATAAAATAATTAACTGGGCATGGTGGCACATGCCTGTAATCCCAGCTACTCGGGAGGCTGAGGCAAGAGAATTGCTTGAACTGGGGAGGCAGAAGTTGCAGTGAGCTGAGATCATGCCACTGCACTCCAGCCTGGGAAAGAGTGAGACTGTCTCCAAAAAAAAAAAAAAAAAAAATTCTTGGCCATATGCAGAGCCAACTTGCAGGGTTTGATGCAGAATGAAAATGCAAAACGCTTTGTTCAAAAAAAAAGGCCGGGAAAGAGCTTTTTCCTTTCTCTACAGTCTCTCTCTCAAGCTGTCATGTTATTTTTTACTTGCTATTTAATGGTGTGCCCCCTCGGGCATGGGGTTTCACCCGTGTGGCGAATGCAGTCCCTAATAGTTGCCCAGGGCCTGTCTCGTGGTTCTGTGCGTGGGGCATGCATGTCAGTCCAGCACCCTCATCCTCGGCCCCTGAGGATGGGGGTGGCAGCAGTTGCCAGGAGAGAGTGAGGAAGCAAAACCCTTACAGGGGAAGTGGGGAGGTGCAAAACAGGGTGGCAGGCCCAGGCAGCAGTCAAGGCTCCAAGCCCCACCACATGCTCCATTGTCCCATGGGACTTTGCTTACAAAACACACACTCAAAAATAAAATGACTAAGAATTTCAAGATGGCGATCACAGGGCATTAAACCCAGAGCGTGGAGTCCTACATGACTACACTGGTAACATACTCACAAAGCCCTCCCCTACCTTGGTTTAGAGATACCTAGCCTTGGGCAGGTGGCTTGACCTTTCCAAGCCTCAGTTTCCTCATCTGCAGATGAGTATGAAAATACCTACTTTGGCCGGGCACGGTGACTCACGCCTGCAATCCCAACACTTTGGGAGGCCGAGGTGGGTGGATCATGAGGTCAGGAGATTGAGACCATCCTGGCTAACATG